GCTCCAGCCAGTCCAGGTACGTGCGGTAGCGGAAGAACGGGCCTGTGGCGGAGGGGCAGGGGCAGCGGTCAGAGACCTACCCGGCCGGGACCGGGGACGGAGGGCAGGGCTCAAGTCTGGGGGAGGCGAGGGCCAGAGACCTGGGGGCTGAAGGGGGACAGAGACCGGGAGCAAAGCAGAGACGGGTGGGGGAGGGAAACCCAGAGGGAGGGGCCGGAGACCCAGAGTAAAGGGACAAGGGCCCTAGCCGGTTTGGCTCAGTGGACAGAGCGAGGCCGTGGGCTGAAGGGTCCCGGGTTTGATTTTGGTCAAGGGCACATACATCGAGGTGTCTCTCTCACATCGATGTTTCTGTCTCTTCCCCTCCCTTCCACTCTCTCTAAATATCAGTGGGGCCCTAGCCGGTTTGGCTCAGTGGATAGAGCCTGGGGCTGCGGACAGAAGGGTCCGCTGTTCCATTCCAGTCAAGGGCGCATGCCTGGGTTGCAGGCTTGATCCCCAGTAGGGGGCGTGCAAGAGGCAGCCAATCAATGATTCCCTCTCATCATTGATGTTTCTCCCGCTCCCTCTCCCTTCCTCTCTGAAATCAATAAAAATATAATAAAAAAAAATCAATGGAAAGATATCCTCAGGTGAGGATTAACAAAAAATAAAAAATAAACTAAAATAAAAGGGACATGGAAGCAGAGGGGAGGACAAGGGACTCAAAGACAAGAAAAGTGGGACAGACAAAGACCCCGACAGTGAGGGGCACAGAGGCTCTGACACAAACGGAGTCAGACAGACAGACAGACCGACGGACCGACTGTCCCGGGAACCCAGGAGGACTCTGGGGTTTGTTCTCAGTGCTAGGAAACCCTGGCGAGCTGTTCGGGCTGGACAGCACCAGTCACCTTTCACAAGGACTCTGAGTAGGGCGGGGCCGGCAGAGGGACGATGATGGAGAATGGGAGGCTGTTTCAGATAAAATGACAGCCCATGTGAGGGAGGGAGCAGTGGGTGACAGAGGTGACAGCTGTCAGGAGCCTGGCACGTCACAAAGGCCGTGGAGCGTGTGCGTTCATTCTAAATGCTCACAGTGAGCAGGACGGCGCAGACAGAAAGGTAATCAGTGGTTCCAGGGGCTGGGGCTGGAGGAGGTTTGGGGGATGATGGCTGAAGGGCAGTGTTCCTCTCTTTTTCTTTTCTTTTTTAAATATATTTTATTGAATTTTTACAGAGAGGAAGGGAGAGGGATAGAGAGTTAGAAACATCGATGAGAGAGAAACATCGATCAGCTGCCTCCTGCACGCACAAGAGAGAATCATTGATCAGCTGCCCCCTGCACACCCTCCACTGGGGATGGAGCCCGCAACCCAGGCATGTGCCCTTGACCGGAATCGAACCTGGGACCCTTCAGTCTACAGGCTGATGCTCTATCCACTGAGCCAGACCGGCGAGGGCCGCAGTGTGTCTTTGTGGGGTGATGAAACTGTTCACCCACTGTGCGGCAGGGACAGTTGCACAACTCCGTGAACACACTGAAAACCAGCGAGCTGGCCGTGGCGATGGTGGGAAAAGGTGTCAATTATAGCTCAACACAGTTGTCATTCCCAAAAGGCTACACGGGACCACAGGCCGAGAACCGGCCGAGTCTCCCCTGGAGGAGCCCTGGGTCCAGTGGGAGGGTCTGACGCAGAAGCTCACTGTGGGAGCGGCGGATGCTGGGTGGAGAGAGGGGGCAGGGAGGCGGGGAGAGGCGGCCGGGGAGCAGGCACTCACCGGTCAGGATTCCCACGTAGCAGTAGCTGTAGCTGAGCGTCTCCATCAGAGAGGGGATGTAGGGCAGCAGCCCCAGGCTGGGCCCCTGGCTGAAGCCCGCAGCCATTTCCTTCCTCTGGGCCAGGTGCAGGTCCTGTACCTCACTGGCCAGACTCACCAGCTGGGAGGAAGGGGTGCGGGTGGGGAACAAGTCAGACTCGGTTCCGCCTCACACCGCTTCCCCTAAGCTACCCCCCTCGGCAGCCAAGGATGCTGGGGTGCAGCTGGGAGCCGAGTTCTACTCCCCGGGGCAGCATCTGAGGTGATGGTGATAGTGATGGCATCTTAGAGTCTCTATCAATGGCAGGTGCTCACCAGGGCTCACTTCTGGGCCCACCTGTCTTCTTTTTCTGTTTTGTTAATCCTCACCCGAGGATATTTTCCCATTGATTTTTAGAGAGTGGGCGGGAAGAAATGAAAGAGAAAAACATTGATGTGAGAGAGACACATCAATTGGTTGCCTCCCACACGCACCCTGACCAGGGCCATGAGTCAAACCTACAACCCAGGTGTGTGCCCTTGACTGGGAACTGAATCCATGACCCTTCAGTGCACAGGCCAACGCTCTAACCACTGAGCACACTGGCCAGTCTTCTTTCTCCGTGTTCCCTTCTTCTTTGTTTTCCTGCTGCCTGGGGCTTTAGATACCCCTCACCCTCACCTCATGACTCCTACACTCTGCCGGAAGCCGGTCCACCCTTGCTGCTTGACACAGTCGCTGCAGGGAAGAAACATCTGCACAGCATATGTTTCAAGGGACCTGGCGTATATGGCATATGTTTGCTCCCCCTCTTAGCGCTATGTGTTTTAACCAGGTCCCCCTCCCCGAGAAAGGTTGTTTCCCCAGGTGGAGATTTTTCCCTGGAGTTAGGGATTAACAGGACTAAGGAAGGGAATGAATCAGTAAAACCCCCTAGTGTTACAGAAATCCCATGTACTTCTTTATGAAGAACTTGGACTAAGACTGTTGGCAATAAATTTGGGACTTGTTGGGCCCACATCCCCAGGGGTCTTCCCACCAGGGAAAGCACCAAAGCCTATACCCCTGGAGACCCACAGACACAGGGCAGTCCCAGGGAAAGCAAGAAGCAGGGCTGGGAGGACATACCCTTTACTGGGTAGGATAATCTCCTTCAGTCACTTTCTTGTAGCCTATCAGTAGACCAGTAGAATAGTGACTTTGGAATAGCCCTTATAATGGAATACAGAGATTAACATAGGCAAGATTAAAATCAACGCAACTTGTAGCTGAGTGTCTCCGTCAGAGAGGGGATGTAGGGCAGCAGCCCCAGAGACAGGATTTTTGGCAAAGGTGAGATAAGAAACTATGGAAATGAAACAAGGAACTGTAGAAGGTTATCCAAAACATACCATGATGTGATTATAGAGGCATGCTTATAGGATCAAGGGTATAAATACAGATGTAACAGGAGAATAAAGAGAGAACCTGGCTATGCAGATCATCTGAACACTGCCTCCGTGTCCTTCATTCTTCGCCGACTCTGTCCACACCTTTGGGAACCCCTGGACCTGCTGGGGCTGGACCCCAACAACACTCTACTCCTGGCTAGGATCTCTCTCCCCCAAACCTATTCATCAAGTTGCCTCTGAGCAATATTCAGATGTCTGCCTGGCACATGCACAGGAACCCGGTATTACCCACTCCCCAAACCAGATCGCTTGGAGACTCTCCCCTCAGGCAATGGCGCCCCCATCCCATTAATTGTTCAGGTCCTAGATCTATTCCCTCAGGTCTCTGGAGCCCAAGCCCTGATCCTTTAGTTTTGTCTCCACCTCCAAAGTGGGGCAGAGTCTGCCCAGCTACGGAGGAAGGCAGGCCTGAGGGCTGGGGTTTCATTCTACTGTGGGCTGGTGTGACCCCAGGGACACCTCCGGGGGAGCGCCTCTCTGCAGCCTCCTCCTTCCCGGCTCCTCTTGTCCCCTGGGGCTCCTCCCCAGCAGCTGGGCCAGGGTTCCTCCTGAGCTGTCCCTTCAGCTCCTGCACGTACTCATCCTAAATTGGGCGTTTCCTGTTGGGACTCGGACTGACCGAGCTGCCCACAGCCTGATTGAGCCGCCAGCTGGACCGCATCCCATCTCGCCCTTTCTGCTGCAATCGCCTGGAAGCACCCGGAGCGAGATTTCTAAACACGAAAACCTGCCCTGGCCAGTGGTTAGAGCATCGTCCCCTACGCCAAGGTTGCGGTTTGACCTCTGGCCAGGGCACAGACAAGGATCAACCAATGAATGCACAGATAAGTGGAACGACACGTCGATGTTTCTCTCTCTCCCTTCTTCTCTCCCTAAAATCAATAAATACATTTTAAAAAAGAACCAACCAAGGAATGCATAATACCTGGAACAACAAATAAGCTGTTTCTCTCCCCTTTCCTCTCTCTCTAAAAATCAATAAAATGTGGGGAAAAAACCACATGCAAATTTGGTCACATTACCTCTCCTGACAACAAACCAAAAACCTCTTCCGAGGGATCTGGGCCCCACAGGGAGAAGTCCAAACTCCTTGCATCGGCCAACAAGGCCCTGCGTGCTGTGGTCCCTGCCGCTCCTCCTTCCTTCTGGGACCTGTCCATGTGGCCGGCACACAGCTGGCCAGCAGCTGCTCCCTCCACTGGCGCTGTCCTTGCACGTTGACAGCCATGCCTCCACCTTTTCTCGCTAAGCATCGCCTGCTGCCCCCAACTCCCTCCTGAAGGGACCCTGTCCGCTAGCTCGGGTGCCTGTTCCTCTCACTGATTCGCTCACTGATTGGTGGCCAGAGCCCTGTGCCCCGTGGGAACTCAGGCTTTTTGACCTGGGATGGGGCCTGGGAAGCTGTTTTCACCGATCTTCCCAGGTGACTGAGAGCCAGACCTGGGTGTCCAGGTTTCCTGTCCTTGGATAAGTGCCTTCCCCCAAAGCTGGTCTCCCTCTTTCATAGCACAGCTTGCCCCAAAGAGGCAGGAAGGCGTGTAGGTGGGCACTTAGCTCCGCCTCCGGCCTCTCAGGCATGCAGTATTCAAGGTACCTCTTCCCCCAGGGGGAGACCTGAGAGGTGAAGCCCCGCCCAGGGTGCGTGGGAGATAAAATCCCGCCTCCACTGTTCCTCCTGGGAGTGGCCGGGAGGAGGAGGTGAAGTTGGGGGGTTAACTGGCACACGGGAGGGTGGAGGGGAGTCTGACCTTCAGTGTCAGCAGCAGCTGCACGGCGTTGGTGAAGGGCGTGGGAGTGGGCAGGCCCAGCAGGCTGAGCGCGCGGAAGAACAGGAGGTAGGAGAAGGTCCAGGCCAGGGCCAGGGCGTGGCAGGAGCTGGGGCAGAGGTAGGAGGAGGTGGTGCCGGGCTCTGGGAGCTGACCCGGCCTCCGCCTCCCCAGGTTCTAGCTACAAGCCCTCCCCCACCTCCCCACCTTCAGAGACAGAAAATGGGGGCAGAATGAACAAGATTGAGACAGCGAGAGAAGAGGCATAGCCACGTACAAATGCACAGAAATAAAGAGAATGAGAAGAGGCTGAGAGAGCTTCGGGGTGAACACCCTTCCATCCACCTTTTACTGGGAGGAAGGAGAGGGAATATGAATATGAACATGAACATGAACATGAAGGGTGGCAGTGGCAGGGCCAGCAGGGGATAATGTCGCCCTCTCCATGATGAGGCTGTCGAGGACCCAAACACACAGGAACAAGGCCCAGGAAGGCAGGAGAGGAAAACACCAATGACCCAAAGAAACAGATCAATGAGAGACGCCCACAGAGTGAGGCAGAGGTCAGGCAAGACTCGAGAGAAGAGACAGGTTGCTACCTCTCCCCCCACCTCCCCCACCGCATCCTCACCAGGGCTGGGCCTGAATGAGGGCCCAGGTCCCAAGGATGGTGATCAGAGAGTGCAAAGTGTGGGGGCCACAGGTGAACAAGGTGAGCCCCAGGCCCACGGCGGCCGCCCCCCATCTCTTCAGCCCAGGTCCTGCAGGGAGAAGAGAGAGCATAAGCCTTCCAGGGGTTCACCCCTCTTGGTCCCCCCACCCCCTCCTTATTTTCCACTGGGGAGGGGTTTCCTGTCCTTGGATAAGTGCCTTCACCCAAAGCTGGTCTCCCTCTTTCACAGCACAGCTTGCCCCAAAGAGGCAGGAAGGCGTGTAGGTGGGCACTTAGCTCCGCCTCCGGCCTCTCAGGCATGCAGTATTCAAGGTACCTCTTCCCCCAGGGGGAGACCTGAGAGGTGAAGCCCCGCCCAGGGTGCGTGGGAGATAAAATCCCGCCTCCACTGTTCCTCCTGGGAGTGGCCGGGAGGAGGAGGTGAAGTTGGGGGGTTAACTGGCACACGGGAGGGTGGAGGGGAGTCTGACCTTCAGTGTCAGCAGCAGCTGCACGGCGTTGGTGAAGGGCGTGGGAGTGGGCAGGCCCAGCAGGCTGAGCGCGCGGAAGAACAGGAGGTAGGAGAAGGTCCAGGCCAGGGCCAGGGCGTGGCAGGAGCTGGGGCAGAGGTAGGAGGAGGTGGTGCCGGGCTCTGGGAGCTGACCCGGCCTCCGCCTCCCCAGGTTCTAGCTACAAGCCCTCCCCCACCTCCCCACCTTCAGAGACAGAAAATGGGGGCAGAATGAACAAGATTGAGACAGCGAGAGAAGAGGCATAGCCACGTACAAATGCACAGAAATAAAGAGAATGAGAAGAGGCTGAGAGAGCTTCGGGGTGAACACCCTTCCATCCACCTTTTACTGGGAGGAAGGAGAGGGAATATGAATATGAACATGAACATGAACATGAACATGAGAGGTGGCAGGGCCAGCAGGGGATAATGTCGCCCTCTCCATGATGAGGCTGTCGAGGACCCAAACACACAGGAACAAGGCCCAGGAAGGCAGGAGAGGAAAACACCAATGACCCAAAGAAACAGATCAATGAGAGACGCCCACAGAGTGAGGCAGAGGTCAGGCAAGACTCGAGAGAAGAGACAGGTTGCTACCTCTCCCCCCACCTCCCCCACCGCATCCTCACCAGGGCTGGGCCTGAATGAGGGCCCAGGTCCCAAGGATGGTGATCAGAGAGTGCAAAGTGTGGGGGCCACAGGTGAACAAGGTGAGCCCCAGGCCCACGGCGGCCGCCCCCCATCTCTTCAGCCCAGGTCCTGCAGGGAGAAGAGAGAGCATAAGCCTTCCAGGGGTTCACCCCTCTTGGTCCCCCCACCCCCTCCTTATTTTCCACTGGGGAGGGAACCTGACTCACCAGCTTTCTTAAAGAGGAAGCCGATGGGGATGGAGATAAGCAGAACCACTAGATATGTCCACTCCTCTGGCGACATGGTCTGGGGGAGGGGCAGAGGTTCACAGTGAGAACCCAGGAGTAGGGACCCCCAGCTGCTCCCCCTGCAGGGATGCAGGAATCTGCTCCTCAGTCCCCGGCTGTCGAGGACCCTGGAGCCCTACCCTCAGCTCCTCTCCTTTGAGAACATAAGAATCCGGACCTCCAGGCCCTTCCTCCTCCAAGAATAGATTCCACCCGTAGGGACCCTCTTTCGGAAACCCAGGCCTCCAGCCCCCTCCTCCTACGAGGATCTGGTCCCCCAGCACTTCCCTCTTCGAGCACGCAGGTCTCCCGACCCCCATCCCGGCTCCAGCCTGCACACCTTCTCCCCCTCTCCTGTCTCCAGCCCCGAGGGCGGGCCTCCCGAGGATCTTCCAGGCTCCCTCCCCAGC